TATGTAAAAAAAAAAAAAAAAACAAAATGCCTAAGGTTATCGTTATTGATTCTAGCTTTAATTATGACGTAGATACATTTTTTTATGGAACAATTCTAAGACTATGCAAAATTTTTAATTTTTTTAGTCATCCAGAAATCCAATTTGAATAAATATTTTGTAAAGCTCACAAATTGGATTTCTGGATATGACCATAGTTTCGAAGTGTGCTTTTGTTAGTTACACGTCTGAATTTAAATTTTAACACCCATATTAAGTAACTTAACATTATATGATGGAAATAAGTGAGAAAATATTTTTTTAATACGTAGAAATTATCATTCTCTAAGTTTTTTTTTTAACTTTCGTAAAATATAATTAGAAATTTTTATATAGTTTAAGTAAATCGTTTTTCATTTACTGTAATAATAATACAGGCCAAACTTCTGTAAGACTAAAAGAAATAAATCTTACTCTTTAGCTTTTTTTCTTGAAATATATTGTGTAATATTTTAAAAATTACATTGTTACAACTAAATAATAATTATTATGCAAATCATTCTTTTAATTAAACGAATCAATCATGAAATGTTAAATTCTTTAATGTGAAACTATATCGATATGATATCATTTGCCGATCACATGTAAAAAATTCAGATGTTATGCAGGGTGAACAAGAAAGTAAAATCATCTCTAATTAACGCATTTTACGATTTAGCAGAATGGAAATCAATAACTGATAAAAGATAAATAGGGATAGTTTAGATTTAGTAAGTTTTGCAAGTTTTTCAGAGGTTTCGGAGATTTCGGAAGTTTTGGATTAGTCTCCATAGTCCAAATGCAAGTGTTATATGCCCAATTAAATTAAATTTGTCCATATCGATATGATTTTTAATTGACTTAACGTTAACGTTAATCCAAATGCCAACACTGGGATTTTATTAGCAATTTTAGGTTACTAATACAAACGCTTAATAGTTAGCATGAACACGTGCGAAAAAAGAAAAGAAAATGAAATATTCAAAAACCATATTTATAGTTAATTCGTGATCCGCGTGGGAACCGATGAAATATTATAATAAAAGTGGGAAATTTACTATTAAATTGCCTTTTTTTTTGGAATCTCAAAAGATAATTTTTTTTTTTTTTTTTTTTAAATAAATTTCATTTGTGCTTCTAATAAAAGTTATAAAGGAAAAATCTTTGGCAATAATGCTAGTTAAAACGCTAAAATCGGCCTGGTGGATCGCGAGATATGAGCGTTTTAGTCTTCGTGGCTATATGCTTACTTCTTTATCAAAACAATATAGTCGCTAAGACTAAAACGCTCTGATTTTAACATTTTAATCACCATTATGACCGAAATTTTTCCTCAATAACTTTTCCAAAAAAGGCAAAATTTACATAGTACATAAACATATCTCCATTTTTTATTAGTTGTTCGGATAAACATATCTCCATTTTTTATTAGTTGTTCGGATCCGTTTATCTAAAGATAATTATCTGTTGAATAACACATTATCCGATATCTATATCTTTTCTATCATCCGAATATCTTATTGAATTATCTGTATTATATTCGGGTCTATACCAGATAGTGTTTGAATTTCATTACATATTATATTATCTAAATAATTTATCTAGATTATTATATGCTTACTTAAATCTATAAATATGTGTGATTTCTTCTTTGATTATTCACTGGTATGAATTGATAATTACTGATCATCAAAGAAAGAGCAAAAGAATCCATAACGAAAGATCTTTTTAATCATCTTATTTTCTTAAACTACCATTAAACTTAGTTCCTGACTAGCATAATATTTACGTGATTTGACATTCTTATTCATTACTTTGCGGCATTCAAAAAATGTGCACCATGTTAGTTCACCCATGGTAATTGGATAAGAATTAAAAGTTATTGAAACGCGAAACAGACAATAACTTTCCTTATTCGAATAAATTATCTGTTATCTAGTATTATTAGGATAATCCGGATAGAAAGTTCAACAGATCCGAACACTACTTTTTTTATTATGATATTTCAC